GCCCCAGGTAGGGCTCTCTGCTCAGTGCAGAGTCTGCTTCTTCCTCTCCCTCTACCCCTCCCCCTGCTCCTTCTGTCTCTCTCTCTCTCTCTCTCGCTTACTCTTTCTCTCTTAAATAAATAAAATCTTAAAAAAAAAAAAGTTTTCTGTTGAATTGCTATTTTCATCAGCCCTTGAGTCTCCTTGGATTAGGACCAGCTGGTGTGATATGAAAGCGCCATGGCTACACTCAGCGGCCACAGGGCTGCTTCTCTCCCTCTGCCTGGTCTCCCCTCATCCTCCAGCATGGGCTCCTTACAGTGTCCTGCACCAGTTTTGTTGCCACAAGTCATCATAGGGTTTTTTCCTGAGGGGGCCTTAGTTTCAATTGCACACAGAGGCTGTTTGTGTGCTCCTCACTTTGAAGGCGGGGCAGGGAACTGTGGCATCCTGCACCCAGGATAGCCCCTGGAAAGTGGCCAGCCCGGAATGCCTGTTGCTGAGTGAGATGGCTGGATGGGTGGGTGGGGAGAACCCTCCTCCTCTTCTCAGTTCCTCATGCCCTTATTCCATCTTCCTATTGAAACTGAGAGAGAGGATGAAAATGAGGTAGATGTTTGGTTTGCCAAAAACAAAGGAGGAATTTAAGCAGGATCACATCAATTTGTCATCTCCATTTTCCAATGAGACCAAACTGAGACTGAATAGACAAGAATAAAGTTGATTGGGTTTAGAGGCAGTAGGACAAGGGCGGGCCATGGTAAGCCTTTGTTAGAAGGAATTTCAGAAACAGCATTGTCACTTCTTTAGATTTTAAAAAGAACTCACAATCCATTTTTTGATTAAAATCTCCTGATTTTTTTTTTTTAAAAGATTTTATTTATTTTGAGAGAGAGAGAGAGAGAGAGCGTGCAAGTGCATGAGCAGTGGGAGGGGCAGAAGGAGAGACAGAGACAGAATCCTAAGCAGACTTCCCGCTGAGCGTGGAGCCCGACACAGGGCTCGATCCCATGACTCCAAGATCATGACCTGAGCCGAAATCAAGAGTCAGACCCTTAACCCACCGAGCCACCCAGGTGCCCCTAAAATCTCCTGATTTTTAAATGCTGGCCATCTTTTTTTAAACTTCATGTGATCCAACAAAATCTCTGCAGGCTGGATATGGCCCCAGGATTTCTAGGGTATAATTTCTGGACCTTCTGGTCCTTTACCAACCCAGCAAACACAACAGCAGTGGGTGGGAATCTTGAGGTAGCAAGACTTTTTAAAAAATCTGACTAGCACATCTGAAAGAGAGGAGACCAAGGTGCCTTTCACAGAGACAAGGGTTCATGATGGGTTCTCCACATTCTTGCCAGGTTTTTCGGTGGCCTCTTTGTGATAAGGACACGGACGATAGCTCTGGCCATGGGAAAGATGGCCAGCTCAGCAGTGCGGCTGGTGTGCCATTTGCGTGGAAGGCACTGGTGTACTCAAATCTAATTATTTAAGGCTTTGTGGCTAACAAGGGCATGGTGCAACTGGAAAGAGCACATTTGTCCTTGGTGAATGAAATCATTAGAATTGAAAGCTGTGCTTTCCTTTGATTTCCAACTTGGTTGAAACTGTATAGACAATAGTGCACAAGATGGTGCATGGAGTAACATCTCCTGTTTACTGTTCTGTGACCTCTGATGTGTGATGGATTCATTCATTCAGGAACTCAAACTACCTATGAGGTGTCGAGCAGTATTCTAGTGCTGTGGATACAGCAGAGAACAAAACCCGGTCCCTGCTCCAGGAAGTGCACAGTCTAGCATGAGGACCCGGTAGTGTGCCTCACAGACTGGGACTTTTAAAATCTGGCAAATCTGGTGGCACCTGGGTGGCTCAGTTGTTAAGTGTCTGCCTTTGGCTCAGGTCATGATCCCAGGGTCCTGGGATCGAGCCCCACATCGGGCTCCCTGCTCTGCAGGAAGCCTGCTTCTCCCTCTCCCACTCCCCCTGCTTGTGTTCTCTCTCTCTCGCTGTGTATCTCTCTCTGTCAAATAAATAAACAAAATCTTTTAAAAAAATAAAAATAAAATAAAAATCCAGCAAATCACTGTTCTTTCCCAGCTCCCAGAGTTATGCCCTTGCTTGACTTATGGGTCAGAAGAGAAGTGGCAACTGAGGATGTCAGGGAAAAGGAGGCAGGGAGAGCGCTTATGTTCTGGGCTATCAACAAGAAGTTCTGAGGTGGTCTTGGACCAAAAGTCCTGGCAGGGGGCATTTGGGTGGCTCAGTTGGTTAAGTGGCTGCCTTTGGCTCAGGCCATGATCTCAGAGTCCTGGGATCGAGTTCCGTGTCAAGCTCCCTCCTCAGTGGGGAGTCTGCTTCTCTCTCTCCCTCTGCCCCTTCCCCCTGCTCATTCTCTCTCATAAATAAATAAAATCTTAAAAAAAAAAAAAAAAAAGTCCTGGCAGATTTTGCTTCCTGGGTGCCTCCTATAGCCTAGCAGCTCCCACAGCCTTTAGAATCCTCTGAGCATGTCTCTCGCTACTTTGCTTTGGGACAACTTTGGAATTGATGAGGACACCCTGGAAGTCCTGTTGAAAATGCAACCCTTGGGATGTTTATTTCTTAACTCAGGAAGGCCTGGGGGATAAAGAATAAAATATCTTCACTGCAGACTCACTTAGCTGTACATGCTACTCAGCTTCTACTCACCGAGCATAGCAGATACAGTGCAGAAGCTCCTTGTGCCCTATTTGGAACTGTCTGCATTTAATCCTATTAAAGAAGTAAAGGCTATTGGACTGATTACCAAGGATGCTCCTCAGAGTCTATTCTGTTCTTTGTTTTGTATTGGTACATTGTTAGCCAAGTCACCACATAAGGAAATTACACCATTGCTTCTTGTCGCCATTATCAAAAGAGGTCTTGTGAAGTTTGACTCGTAGCTCAATGTCAAAAATATTTGTTTATGGACTGTTTTGTCATGACTTCATGAGAAAGAAGCCGTGCTATATGACTAGGGAATTATACATCTTTTACTATGTTAGGGCCTCCTTAACAAACCAGAAATACTAAGACTTATCCAGATGGGAAGTTAGCTTTTGGATTCTAGTTTCTTCAGCGACTCAAGGAATGAGTTATTATTCCTGTGATTTCTATTTCTGGGCTTACCACATATCCCTGCTGCACAGCCAAATGTGACCTGATGCTCATAATAATAAAGGAAATGAACAATTTTTTATTTGCCCTGGAGCAACACAAATGCTTATGTGTTCGGTGAAGTGGATCCCTCTTAGAAATGGTGAAATAACCATGCACAGTATATTGCTATAACTTGGCAACACAATAGTGATAATACATTTCAATTTAACAAAGTCAGGAATTTGCTAAGAATATAAAATGAAACAGAGCAAATATCAGAAATCTATCAATCAGTTTTGTTTTTTTTAAACAGCAATGTAAATTTAAGGAAAAGCTTAAATACATTTTTATAAGCCAGCAGGCCAAAGACTATTAGGAATATATAATGTATGCCCTCATTCAATCTATGCACACATATATAAATATATACATAAACACGTATAAATGCAAATAAAATATTTTCCTATTTTGGATACTTCTGAGTAAATTTATGAGCTTTTTCTTGAACAGCAGTCAAATTTTTTAGCTATATAAATGTAATATAACAATTATTTAATACCCAGATAAGTATACTTCATTGAGTTTCCAATTCAGGATAAACACCTATCTGTCAAGGACTGGGAGTCAGAAATCCATAACGCTTAGATGGGAAGTTAGAATATCTGAATTCTGATCTCAGTTTTACAAAGAGAAGCTTTGGGGGAGCTTTTTTTTTTTTTTTTTTAAAGCCTTTCAGGGGTCTGAGTTTGCTCCTCATAAGATGATTTTGGTGTAGGTGTAGAGGTACTTTCCATTTGTTTGGGATATCATGCAAATGTCTAGCCCCATTATTCATGCAGAGTAGATTCTCTGTACATGTGTTCTGCATTGATCCTGAATCCTTTTTGGGAACAACTCATCTGATTCAGCATTTTTTTTAAAGTAAACTCCACCCCCAGTGTGGGGCTCGAACTCAACACCCCAGATCAACAGTCCCATGCTCCACTGATTGAGCCAGCCAGGTGTCCCGTCAGCAGTCATCTTTAATGGACAGAAATACGGGACGCTGTCAAATGGCTCCAAGCACCCAATTAATATTGGTACGGGGCCAACTACCACCAAAGGTAGGACCTACCTCCTACGGTGGTTATGAGGACTGAGTTGCTCGATGCAACGCGCTTGTGTATACAGCCGAGCATGCAGTGAGGGTTCCAAGTTTAGCAGTGAGAATTGCTAGTATCACCACGATGTGCCAGGCTCTGGGCTAGAATGCGAATTAAAACAGCCACGGCCTCTGCCCCTGTTGAATTTATCATGTAGGGTGTGATTGCAAATTCCGGTGCCTCCCAGGCCCGTCAGGACCCATAAATGTAAGAGGTGGGCTGGCCTCCGTGTGGCCTGGACCACACACACCGGGTTGGAGCGCAGGGACCACGTGGCCCTGGCAGGTTGTTGCCATCGGGGAACGAGGGCTCTTGTTGCCCAATCCTGTGTTTTAGGAGAAGTTAGGAATCTGGGTTATCATGTGACGTCTCCCGACTTACAAGCAGTGACAATGAACGCCAATGGCCAACAAGCGAGTGCCTTAGGGGCTAAAACAACTGCAGGCTGGATGCTTGCTGCAAGGGTCTGTGTACAACTTCCGGACATGCGGTTGCAATAGCCCCAATTCCCCACTTTTCTGGGGGCAGCACAAACCAGATGAGGGCAAAGATCAGTTGTCAGTTAATGTTTAAGTCTTGGCTCCTCCACAGATTTCTGCAAGCTGGGAGTCTGCGGGGCACAACTGAACGTTAGGGACTCGAGTGACCCCGGAGGCAGGGGCTGGAACAGGACCGGGGAGGGGGCTGGGGAGGCCAGACGCCCAGGAGTCAGACGGTTACCTTTTGCCAGAGAACACAAGGACACTATAGAGCAGAGGTGGGTGAAGAGTTTAACACAATTTATTTTAGGCTTAAATAATCGACTAGGTCATCCAGTGTATGGTTTTTCATACATATGTCATTAGAGCTATGTGTCAATGAATGCTGATTTTATATGAATATAATCAACAAATTAAAGGATTTCACCAAAACCCAAATAAAAATGCCCTTTAAAACACAGCAGCCTTATTAACCTAATATGACACTGCTAGAATGGTTACAAATGATTGGCTTATTCAAAGGTGTCTACATCTTATAGCCAGTACACGATACAGTAGTAATTGTACAGCGTGCTGCCATTCTACTAGCTAAGAATTTCGGTTCAGTCATTTTAAATACGCCCGACTGGGGCCTCTTATGAGCACCATCCACCTCTAAAGCGGCAAGCATTACCCCCTTTTAAGCACTAACAGCACCCCCTCCCCCTAAAGCAACTACCGTATAGGGATTTTTTTTTTTTCCATTTTTAGGTCATTTCATTGAAAAATTGGCAATAGCAACAAATATTAGATGAAGGGCTTTGTGTTTACAGATAAAATCTTCTGTGTTGCAGTATACTGTAGTGTTTGCAAAATTGGAAAAGATTTAATCAAAATAAGGTGATACACATGCATCAAAATATTAGTATTCTGCAGAAAAAATTTTTTCACAGAACTACAGAATTCCTCATTTGGGGAATTTTAAATTTGCAGCAGATTTTAAAGATTTGTTGTTTTTTTTTGTTTTTTTTTTAAATCAAGCTAGCAGTTTTGCATATACAAACATTATAATTGCTAATATACAAGAATCAGTGAAGGTCCCCCCACCCAGAATCCCTCCCCCCTCTTCTAGGGTGGTCACTTGAGACCCCTAGTATGTTAAATGCATTTGCAATATTCTGTTTGTGTTCTAAGAGGCAGTGCCTTATCAACATTTATTCTATTTTTCTGTTAGAATTTATACAGTGTTATTATTTACAGCAAAACTATAGATGTTTTAAAAAAGAAACAAATAGTGTTTATACCCTGACAGTTTGGGTCCAAGAAAAATAAGGCGAGCTGTTGTGGAGTTAGTAATTTTAGTGTTTCTCTGTGATTTCATCGTCCCATCTTCTGTCCGTGTTGGCGGCAGGAATTTCTTCCTTTTGTAAATGACACCAAATTACTTAAGATAAACTGTTAACAGCATGGCTTCTTGTATATACACTGCATTGCTAATTGCACACGCGCCAATCCTGGGAGTGAAAGTGAATTTCCATGCTCTGTAAATTGGCTCATGCTAAATTAAAATGTGGGTAGTTCTCTTTTTTTTTTTCTTTTTGCATAAAAAAAAAAAAAATCATGCCATTAATGTGTGGAAGCAGCAAACACACACACCCTTCTCCGTGAATTTTTACTTCCTGCTGACATATCTTCCATGAATTTCTCAATACTGGCAGTAAAAACACATGATCCTGTGGAAAGAGAGAAAATAGGTAATGAGTTTAGCCTGCTTGCTTGCTTTCCTTTTTTTTTTTTTTTAAAGAATTTGCCTAACCCTTCCTTGCCATTCAACAGAAAAGCCTGAGAGAACGGGGCGTCTACTTTCTAATGGGGGGGGTTTCACAGGATGATCTGACCAATGTGATCTGCTAGGACAAAGCCTGAGGTGTACCCGCAAGCCCTTTGAAGGCAGTGACTTTTTTCTAGGTAACCCATGCTTTCCACAGCACACTGATCACTGTCTTTGTGGTTTTCGAGAATGAGTTGGAAAAGACCCTCTTCGAGGGAGCCTGCCATCTCTGATCAGGTCACTCAGGTACTCGTGAAAGCCACCTCCAGCCCTTTGGGCCTCGTCTTATCTATAAAATGAGAAGGCTGACAGAGATGCTCTCTGGGATTTCGATCAACATCAAAATATCAGGGGTCTGGGGTTCTCATGGGCATAAAGGGCTAGGGATACGGAGTCAGGATAAATTATTTCAGTAACGTCCGTACGTTTTATAACAAGTGTTCACTCCCCAAAGTGCAACTCATCTTTCAAAAAGGGAGAACAGCATCATTCCTTCATTACTCTGAAACTGCTTTTCCATGCGCAAATTAAAATTAAAGACTGTCTTCCACCGCTGCAAAGAATACTTTTTCCCTCCTCCTGCCCCACATCAGTCACGGACAAGATCGACTCATTATATTTGAGCTTCTTTATGGGGGCCGCGGATATCTTGTCTTACTGGATAATCACGGCATAAAGTATCAGTGTTTTATAACCAGTCAATACAGTCAAAATAAATCAACAATTTCTGCTATGCACGCTTTCTTCATAAAACAAAATTTTCCTACATATAGTTCGTCCTCCTCTTTCAGTGTGAAAAGGTGACACGCTTGAATGCCGCCTGAGAACAAGTCCTAGCCCCTAGAGAAAACCTGAGTAAGGCAAGAACAATTTTAGGAACAATCGTGCTCATTCACTGGTAAGCAACACCCCATTTCTACAGGTCTAGGGGCACCTTCAGAACTGTGCTTCTGTTGGGGCCCATGTGTCCTCAGTGACCTTGAGGTTGTTCACTTACCCCAGACAAGTTTCTTTCCCTTTTCCCTTTAAGATGGATCACCCAGGATACCTTGGCTCAGGTCAGCGTGTTGGTATAGCACTTCCTCTGTCTGCTCTACTAGGTTCTTGCTTCCTTTCTTGTATGAAAACTGCTACTAACCTCCATGCCCCAGGTCACTAATGCTTAGAGCCAAGAACATCAAAGTGTCAATTCCTTCTGGGGTGATTTCAATATTGCCCCCCCACGCCGCACCCAACATGACTCTGCAGAAATGGTAGAGAAAGAAAATGACTCATCTGGGCAGGCCGTGTCCCAGAAAGTGGGCAAATCCGAGTGAAATCAGGATTTTCTCCCCTGTTATTACCACTTATTCCTTATCTTCTGGGCACCAGGGTTCTTAGATGGCCCTGTGATAACGTGACCCCAGTGTTCCCCTTCTGTCTTCCTAGGGATGGGCCTCAGCAATTTTCTCTAGTTGAAGCACCCCCCCCCCACTTTGTGCAGCTTAATTGATATATAATTTACATGCCATACAATTTATCTATTGTAAATATAGTCTGATAACTTTTAGGGAATTTATATAGATATGCAATCATCACTACGACCCAGTTGGACTTTTTTTGTTTTGCATCCTGTCTTCCAAAAGCCAATCCAATTTCCCAGGTTAATCTTGCAATAAGAAGCAAGGTCTTCCTCTTATCACCTCAGTGCAAGCAAATTTTATCTTTTATAGAAATATTGGATATGTTTCTATAATTTTTTTTAAAATGCTATTCATTATATCCATTTATATTCAGGTAGGATTTGAGTGATAGTTCAAAAAAAAAAAATTGGGAGTGAGTTCCCCTTGTAAATCGCTTTTGTTCTTGGTCATGCAATCAGAGTGTGGAAGGTCATTCATTGGACAAAAGACCTTATACCAACTACAGCGTTCTACAAAAAGCATGAGCGCCTTGGCCCAGAGACCATAGGCCTATTATAAAATACTGACCTTGTACAAATTGTGATGAGAGCGCCATCTGATGGAAAAGTGTGAGGGCAGGAGCCATCGAGATGACATTTCAGAAATAGAATTTGAGTCCTTTTCCCTTTTGGGGTTTAGGTAATACATGAGATAGAAGCCTCTGCATTTAGCAATCTGTCTTTGGGTTTTGCATGCTTTTCAAACCCAAAGATAGTAGAAAACAACTCAGAAAAACAAACATTCCTTTTAGTCATTCCACTATAATGTTTTTTTTAATTTTAAACATTTTTCATGTATAGAAAAACAGCTATTCAGTGGATTTTCATGGAAGTTTATATTTTACAGATGAATGTTGTGCTTTCCATATCCATTTTCAAGTCAGGGGTATGCTTGAGCTTCGAACCACCATTTCCTTTATAAGTCCACATACAGTGGTTTTTGGCCCCTAGTGCCCAGCTTAAAAACAAAAATCACCCATCTGTAGCTGGATATATGAAGCTCTCTGCAGTTCAGCCCAATCAGCCTCAATGCCTACGACTCTTCGTGGCTTTGTTTGACAATTTTCAGTGGTTCTCAAACTTGGGTGCATATTACAATGATCTGGGAGGCTTAAAAAACAAAACTAAACTAAACCCAGTAGCCAGGCTACATCCCATGACAATTTATTTGGAATTTCTTGGGGTGGAGCCCAACATCAAAAAACATTGAAAAAAACTCTCTAGATTATTTGAATGTTCAACCAAGTTTAAGAGCCAGTGATATATTCTAGAACACTGCTTATCAAAGTTTAATGTCCTCATGTATCACCCAAGGGATCTTCAAATGTGGATTCTGATTCAGGAGGTCAGGGTAAACCCAGAGACGCTGCATTTCTAACAAGACCCCCGGGTGATGTTGATACTCCACAGACCACACTAGGAGGAGCTAGACTGCATGTCAGTCATCAACACATGTTTGGAAGTTTCCAACTTCCTTCTCTTTGCTCATGATTTTGTATCCACCTATACTTCTCTTCCCCTAATCTTCACCTATATTAACTCCTCTCTATCCTTCAAGTTTGTGTCAAATGTCATCTCCATGGAAGTTCAGACTGTGCTCTCCCTAAGGAGATCTGCCTTGGCAGGGTAACTCTTACTCATCTTTAGACTTTGCTTGTTACAGCTTTAGGAGAGAAAGCCTTTTCTGATACGCCTTCCTAATAGCCTACCAAGAACGTAGATTTGTTACTCTATTTCTTTCTCTTCCTACCCATCTCTCTTTCCTTCCCCTCTGTCTCTCTCATTATAGAAGTCATGGGGCTAAGAACAATTTTTTTCTAAGCATTAATTCTAGTTACTTCATGTAATCATAATAAAAACTACAGTGCAACTTAAAAATAACTCCCAGTTCATGTAGATTTGTTCAACTGCTACCAGTAAGTGGGGCTTTTTTGAGGTTTTTTTTTTTTTTCTAGTGACCTGTGATTTTTAAAATAGGGCCAGTTAAAAAAATACAGGGAAAATATTGATCTATATTTTGGTAGTAAAAAACATACAGCACTAATAAAATTGTACAGCTATTATTATTAAATGTTATATGCCAGGCACTGTTGTGGAGTGGCTTAGCTCATTTAATATTAATAACAATAAGGTACTGTTGTATCTTCCATTTTACAGATAAGGAAATAGAGCTCAGAGCTATAAAACAAGCACAAGTTTGCACACTTAGTACATAGTAGAGCGAGAAACAGAAGTCAAGCCACCTGACTCTAGAACCCTTGCTCTTCACCTCAAAGCCAAGGCTTTTGTTTAATTAGGGATTTTTTTAAAGGGTAAGAAAAATAAAAACAAAACTATATAAAAACATATCTACTCCAAATAAATTCAGGGAAAATCTTTAGGAGTGAAGAAATTCAGGCTGCACCTCGGACTTCTGGGAAGCAGAATCAGGAGAATCTGCTGGGTGAAAATCCAGACCTGTCATTAACTATGACCACTGGGGTTTCACTGTCTCTCTCTCTTCATGCATTAGTAAAGAGGAATGAGAATGCCTGTCTTAAAATTTCCCCTGGAGTTTCTCTGCATGTGATATTAGTTTACACTTCAGAATACTTTCAGTTATCCCTGATTTCTCAGAGAACATCAGTGACACTGCTGTTCCCACTTCTCCCACTGTTCCTGGCACCCCTCACATCTTCGTCTACTTGCCACTGATCAGGCTCGTCAAGGTGCTCTTCTGGGCTGTCTTAATTCTACTAACAGCTGAACTTGCCCAGTGCTTACTATGGGCTTGCCTGTCGCTATTTAAAGTGATATACTTGTATTAACTCAGTTAACTCTCCCAACAACTCCTCGAGGTATGTTATTCTTATCCCAGTAGAGGTGAGGAAATTAAGGCACAGAACCAGTCTAAGTTCACCTAGCTAGTAAGCTCCCCAGCAATTCCCTCCACTCAGGCCATTTCATTTCTCCCCCAAATACCAAAAATGACCGCACTATGATCTCTGGCCCAGAGTTGTCTCCCTAATCATTGACTAATGTCGAGGGCCCTGCATGTTGACCATCTATGAAGCTACTTCATCACCCAGGCTACGTCAATCCCTCCTTTTGTTTTTGTGGTCTTAGGTTCTATGATTTTGTTAAATAATTACCTCTATACAAGCAACCCTGATGTCTTCAACTCTCACCCTTCCCTCCCAACACAGAACTAATCTGGTTCCTCAAATCTGTTCTCTCCTTTTCATTCTCTCTGCCCCGGTTCAGGCCCTCATCTGTGTCTCAGAACCGAGGCCCTTATGTTCAAACTCTGTCCTCCCTCTACTACTGCTAGGGTTACCTAAATCTTATATTATTCTCCTATACAAAGCTTCCAGTGGTACCCCACAGTATCCAGGATAAGGACCAAACTCCTAAGCAAAGGTCATCTGATTCTCCATACTGCCCTATCTCAAATGCTACTCTTTCTTCAAAAACTAGTTCAA